GAAAGAGTTTAATTTCTTGTGACAGATGGACAAATACCAATTCTTTCTGTGAGAATCAATCCTGGAGTTACGTAATTAATAAAGGGGGATGTGTGGATATCAATATTTTGAAAGTAAAATTGTCCTTGTATATTGAAAATAAAGAGTCCATACGATATGAGCCAATCAGTAATAAATTGCTAACAGATTGAACATTTTCACGTCATAAACACTACGTGCATACTTGTGCGTAATGTTGTCAGATACATAACTCATACAGATAAATCAATTAAGGTGTTAAACGATTATTAAATTAAAAACTTGCATTGGAAATGTAATTAATTACAGTCGATAACGAGAACTTGTTGTAATTATCCCGCTTTTGTGTGGAAGATATAAATAGTAGGCTTAACAAATCAATACAACAATAAAGAAAGAAGTTAATTACACAAATTGTATGTAAGTGTAGTCGCACACATTTGAAGAATTTTAATGATTAATGTGTTGATAAAATGGAAGAAAAGCTATTGTTTCCTGTACTGTTAACTTAAAGAGGTGCACCCCCACCCAAAAAAAAAAAAATCAAACCGTTATTTTCTAATGTACATGTATATCAATTAACTGTTTCATGAAATTATTGTTTTGAATATCCCTTCTTTTTATGTACGTATATAGACTTACCAATTTCAATGTTTAAAAAAGGCTTCACATGAATGAAATAATAATTAAATTTGTTGATGTCACCCGCGGGGCGCGGTGGTTAGAGACGTGAAGTAAGGAATCTTTACGTCGCGAGTTCCAATCCAACTGTAGGACGTGCAGACTGGTACTTTGGATTAGATCGTATAAATCAAAGTCAAGTGTCGTAGTAGATGCTGTCACGAAAAACTTAGAGAACTGCTCAATTGCCGTGTATAACATGTATTAAAAAACAAATTTTCTAGTTCTCAACCGGCAAGTGATGGCGTCACCATATGAGTGAAAATTCTCGAGAGGGACCCTAAACTACATACATTCAATCAATCAATCTTTTATTTTTGTTGAGACTCATCAACATGTTCGTATAAAGTCAAAAAAGAAATCAAATGATAACAGAAAAACAACGTTAAATATTAAATGAAAACAGAGTTCATCTATGGTAATTGAAAGCAATGAAATTTAAAGTAATTCAAAAAAAAGTTTTTATTGTTGAATACTATAGATGCTTTAAGCTTTTAATGTTTAGTAAATAATAATGATCTAATCTGAAATAGGTGTTCATGTTATATTTTTCTTTGATAATTTTATAGGTGACTCTATGTTAGACACTTCTCTACCCCAGACAGAGATAATGACAGATTGACTGGAGATGACTGTTGTATCTTTTTATAATATTGTATTTTAGGTGACAGCATGAGAAGCCACGATCTGTCTGGGATGTCCTTCAGTACCCCAGACAGAGATAACGACGGGTTTCCTAGAAACTGTGCTGCTTACAGTGCCATTAGAGGAGGCTGGTGGTTTAACTGGTGTCACCAAGCCTTCCTTAACGGTCAGTGGTCCCCGGGATCCTGGTACAGACCATGGTATCCTACAGTCTCTGATAATAAACAGACAAAGGAGACTTTTATGATGCTGAAACATAACTGACTTTTTATATCTTTATATCCATACTTGTTCACGCATGATATGAAAAGTTATATACTTTTATCATAAATGATGAAAACTTTATTTTTAGACATAATGGTGGTTTCTTTAATATATACAATGTATCAAACATATAGATTTAATGTTATTATGTGTAATGAATTTATTGAAAAGTCCTAACATGTATTGCGTTTAAGATAGTGTTGTACATGTAACATCAATTACTAAAAACAAGAAAATCGCATTAAATATTGTTACATAATAAAAGTTTTGTTTTTATTTTATCAATTGTCGTTTTATAATTAATAGTCTAATGATATAAAGTATGTTAACAACAAACACAATGTTTTTTTTTTTTAATACATTCCTTGAATTTCAACTGATCCCCGTGAAAGGTCACATAACTGGGTAGAAATAGTATCCATCAGTCTGTCATCTCCGTACATGTGTGTTGATAATTAGAATTTCATTCTGTTGCAATTTATAAATGATGTAGAGATGATAATTACGTAGATTTTATTTTCAAAGAGAAATATTATTCGCTACTTGTACTGTATTTTGTATAAACAGTGTGTGGAAAATGCTGCATGTAATGCCAAACCAATTAACTGAAAACAAAGTATTATATGATTTATTTTCATGACATTAACGTTGAAGGCCTCAGTGTAACGTCATAAGTGAAAATCAAATTCCCCGCTCTTCTTGAGCAGTTTTAAGTTTTATAATCCACCTTCAGAAACCTTAAATCACATTGACATATATTTGAGTCTTTCAGACAAAAATGCTACATATCCCGTGATGTAAATGTTGTTAATTTTACGGCGCTAAATTTTGCGCACGGAAAGGGATAATTCTTTCTACTTTCCTGCATTTTTAATAAACCACCTGTCCTTTCCTAATATGAGAAATACTCTTTAAAAACCTGTATATTTTATCCCCCCTGATCCTTTTAAATCGTCCATTAAACCTTATCAAATCGTTTTTTTTTTTAATTGATAAACTTTTTTTCGGGGGGGGGGGGTCACAGGAGAAGCCTATAAAGGGATTGGAGACGGATACAATATACAGGTTGATAAAGGAATATATCTTACATTTGGGAATGAAAGGTAATTGATAGTTGAATGCTGAAATGAAGAAAAATATATCCCCAAAGTTGACAAAAAACGTCGTTAACTCCTCAATACTTACTTTACGAGATCGGTTGCGTTTTCATCAATAACTAAAATATAAAACATAACGCTACGGTTTCTGTAGCTAGAAGTAGATACATGTTGCAAGGCTTTTAAATTATAAATGTATTGTAGACAATATTAATAAGAGGATTGAGAAAGAAAAAGAAGATACAGTTACAATGCTGAAGGTATAAAAATAAAAATATTTGCATTTTTTTTTTATATTTTTCAAAAATATGCTTAATTATAAATCATCTTATAAATATTAAATGCCCCTCTCCAAGGATTTTTTTTAAAAGAGCGTAAATATTTACAAACTGTTACCCGCCTTCAATGAAATGGCTCTATTGTACTGAATTCTAGTCATGTCATATAGAAAGTCTATTAGTTCTAGTCAATTGCTAAGTAAAACACGCTCGTGTATTAAGGAAATAAAGCCGTTTTGTGTTCTTATGTTACTGATATAAATGTTAATATTGCCTGGTGTATTACATTTTGTGTTCTTATGTTACTGATATAAATGTTAATATTGCCTGGTGTATTATAAGCTTTATTTATAGCCTGAGTACGTCTTGCTTACCATTACGTTGGCATGATTACAAAAAAGTATATGTCTGACGAAGTTTTAAAACTCTACCATTGCCACATGTGTATCATCTTCTCTCTTCAGTTCTTCAGGTAATACTTCAACCGGATAAGACATATTGACTTATTGCGACACAATGCAATCAAGATTGATGACTTAGATATGGTTTTATTGACTTATTGTGACACAAGGTAATCAAGATTGATGACTTAAATATGTTTTTATTGACTTATTGTGACACAATGTAATCAAGATTGATGTCTTAGGTATGGTTTTATTGACTTATTATGACACAATACAATCTAGATTGATGACTTAGATATAGTTTTATTGACTTATGGAGACACAATGCAATCAAGATTGATGACTCAGATACATGTATGCTTTTATTGACTTATTGCGACACAATGCAATCAAGATTGATAACTTAGATATGGTTTTATTGACTTATTGCGACACAATGCAATCAAGATTGATGACTTAGATATGGTTTTATTGACTTATTGTGACACAATGCAATCGAGATTGATGAATTAGATATGGTTTTATTGACTCATTGTGACACAATGTAATCAAGATTGATGACTTAGATATGGTTTTATTGACTTATTGTGATACAATGCAATCAAGATTGATGACTTAGATATGGTTTTTTTGACTTATTGTGACACAATGCAATCAAGATTGATGACTTAGATATGGTTTTATTGACTGATTTTGACACAATACAATCAAGATTGATGACTTAGATATGGTTTTATTGACTTACCGTGACACAATGCAATCAAGATTGATGACTTAGATATGGTTTTCCCTACGATGAAGTTATAATAAATGGACATAAATATAGATCATCAATGCTGTAGTTATTTTTTCTAAAAAATAGGTTTAATCTTGCTCGACAGCAATTAAATTGCATAGTAAAATGACCTAACTTTACCCGAACTCACGTGTACACAATAGGTGCAGCCATTACACTTGAGGCATGCTGGAATGCACAAATTAGGTCAAAATCTCTCAGTAATCAAATACATATCAACATACTCTTATCTCTAAATCACTTAATACAATCAATTAAACTATATTCTCTATAGCATTATAACTAAGGAAATTTTCGTTCTAAGACAATATATACATGTAAAAATACATATGCGTCTATAGAACATGACAAAATGTTAGCACCCAAATGTAAGTTACTGTTTACCTGCTCACTTTGCAGCCTTTAACACTAATTCATACATTTATTATTCTCATATCGAGTCAATAAACATCAACCTCGTTCCTTAGATTAAAGACGTAATCAACTGTAAATGATAAAATATCACCTGAAGAGGAAAGAAGATGACAAAGATTGGGCAATGGCAGATTTATTAAACTTGGGGATTCACCGCTTCCGGTAGGAAGAGTTGAAATATATTTACAGAATTATCCGCCTTCTCCAAAAAGTTAAATTCACACCTTCTAATTCATACTTATACTGTACTTCAAAAACAACCCCCCACCCATCCACCCCCCCAAAAAATAACAAACTGTTTTTTTTTTCATATTATATCAATTTATCGGTTCTTGGAATTATAGGTTGAATATCCCTTATTTATATGTACGCATATAGGCTTACCAGTTTCAATGTTCAGAAAAAGGCTTCACATGAATGAAAAAAATAATTCAATTAATTGACGTCACCCGCATGGCGCGGTGGTTAGAGGTAAGAAATCGACATTTACGTCGCGGGTTCCAATCACACTGTAGGAAGAGCAGACAGCAGTAAGTGCTGGCACGAAAAACATAACACACTGTTTAATTGCCCTTTATTACAATATAATACATGTAATATATTACAAAATATTTAGCTCTCAACCGGAAAGTGATGGCGTCACCATATGACTGAAAAATTCTCTAGAGGGACGCTAAACAATAAACAATCAATCAATGAATCTTTTATTTCTATTGAGATTCATCATTAATTCGTATACAGTGAAAATAGAAATAAAATTACAACAGAAAAACCAAGTAAAATATTAAATGTAAAAGTGTATATGTTTATTGTTATTGTAAGCATTTAATTACAATACAATTCAAAACAATTAATTTTTTTATTTTAGATACTATAGATTTTTTTTTATTTAACTTTAAATTTTAAGTAAATAAAAATGATTTTATTTGAAATACGTGTCCGTCTAATATTTTTCTTTGATAATTGTACAGGAGACAGTGTGTTAGATACTGGGGGTTCTAGCTCCGATCTCTCTGGGATGTCATTCTCTATCCCAGACAGGGATAATGACAGATTGACTGGAGATGACTGTTGTGTCTATTTATGTTGTTATACTATTGTATTTCAGGAGAAAGCATGAGAAGATAGTGACAGATTGACTGGAGATGACTGTTGAGTCTATCTATATTACTATACGGTTGTATTTCAGGAGACAGCATGAGAAGAGGGACAGCTGCACTTTACCGGTACGTCCAAATAACATGGAAATAGCACGTGCTCTATCTCTATAAGAGAGTCACGCGTCAGCGTGACGATTTCGCTAAAAAGGCTATAAAATGCAAAAATAACCTATTTTTGAATTCCTCGTCATTTTTCATGTTAATAAACTTCGTTTAATTAACGAAGTTATTAATTAAAACTAAAAGCACTTTCAAAACAAACCCTTGGCTTTCATTTTGTAGGCCACATTCCAAAGTCGTGACGTTTTTAAGCTCGTAACTTATTTCAGTGCTGTGATTGTTCAGGGTTGGTGACGTAAAATAGAAAGTTTGACTTCCACTCTATATGATTGTAAACAGTGATTCAGCATGCACCTTATTTACGATGATTTGTATTGTGTTTTCTATGAATGGATATTTTTCATTGACTGACTGCAGCATTCTAGAATTTTTGGAAATGTTAGCGATAAATGTGATCCTTAGTTTATGGAAATGGTGAATAAGTGGAGAGGCAAAACTTGTAAACATGCAGTGAGGACAGTCTTGTTTCGAGAAACAGCAATCAGCAGTATAAGAAAAATGAAACGTATAAAGAGACACATCTTATATTTCTGGAAACAGAGCTGCAGTTAATCTAACATACTCCTGGGTTTACAAACTAAAAAATCTAGAGATTTCAATTTGCAAAACACTGGATACTTTACAATCATTGAGACCACATGGAATGCAGTTATAGAGGAAATCTCTACTAAAACAAAAATGCACTAGGATAGTAGCTATAATTAAAAATTGACGTTTATCTCCTTCATCACCCATAAAAACGTATTTACAACTCGGCAAAAATATACACAATTGGTCCTACATGCATGTATAGTGACACTTACGTATGGCTCCGAGTCTTAGCGCAGATTTATCTAACGACTAAGGTAAGTTTGTTTTATTCATTTTTTACGTATTGGGGGCTGCCGCCCCCACAACCCCGCTTAAAAATGCGAAAACCCATTTAGATATCTTTTTTCTCGCTTCGAGAGTTTCTTACACAACAAAATGGCGTTGTCCATCATAGTTGATACGTTGCTAAGTTTTTACGCCGCGCACTCTCATGCGCGGATCTAGAATCAAAATGGCGGCCGTACCGGTAAAGTTCATTCTATCCTGAGAAGAAAATGACAGATTGACTGGAGATGACTGTTGTGTCTATCTATATTACTATACTGTTGTATTTCAGGAGACAGCATGAATAGCGGCCATGATCTGTCGGGAATGTCATTCTCCACTCAAGACAGGGATAATGACAGGTATATTTATGATAACTGTGCTGCTTCCAGTAACCGTAGAGGGGGCTGGTGGTTTAATGAGTGTAACTACGCCTGCCTTAACGGTCAGTGGTACCCGGGGTCCTGGTTCAACCCCTGGTATCCCACAGTGACTGATAGTAAACAGATAAAGGAGGCTTTCAAGATGATAATACCTAACTGACTTTTCTTTTCTTATATCCATACTTGTTAACACATGTTATGCAAAATTATAAACTTTTATAGCAAATAATATTTCTTGACATAATGATTAAATCGATGTTATATCACAAAGCAACGTAATTATGTTCCCCAAACGAAGTTGGGGAACATATTGTTTTTACTCTGTTTCTTATTATTATTATTATTATTAGGGTCTTCCGTCTCCAACGGAAGACCCTTCTATTAT